ACTCTTCCCCCCTACTTGGACTCCCTGTCTTACTGCTTCAACCGCCCTTATCAAGTCGTTGATGTAGATCTTGAAAAGAGTGGGTGGACCGGGGGGGGGGATATTATTCTTCGGCCAAGCCGGGTGTCCGTTGTTTATTGGTATGGTATTTTGTTCTCCGCGTTTTTTCCGCAGACTGCCGGATACCTATTATTGGGGTGCTGTGTGCGTTGGCCCGGTATTGTGTGCGGTGGTCGCGTGTAAGTATTTCCGGCGTTTTCGCCACACCCAATGCTCAGGGCGTCCTCATGTACATCGAGACAGTACTTCAATGTTTACATATATATGCCGGCCGTGCCTGCATGCGACACCCCATAGCACGACGTTATCAGTGGCCAAACTCATTGTTACTGTAGGTGCCGTGCTACTGTCGCTATTCGACCATTCTTGCATTTTTTCCTTCGGGAATCAGGAGAGTTGTGCACTGCTAGGTGAGGGTCCCGACTCCAACAGGCACAAGCGTGTGCGGTGCAACAACAGAGGGGCACCACCAACAGCAATTTCAGTTCAAACCTAGCTGACGCCAATCAAGAGTACTCCACCTATGGTTGGTATTGCAGCACAATTCTAAGTGTTATACAACCACAAGATCAGCAGTTGACATAATGAATGCTCGGTGTTGCCGGCACTGTATCAGGGCATAAGCACGGTGCCTGTATGCGAACGCAAGTTTTCAACTTCATTCGTGCCTACCTCTCGATCCTCTGCATCAATCAAGTTGAATTCTTATGCAATCTATTATCTGGCGCTCAGTCCGTTTTCCATCAAATATTTATGGCGATTGATGCTGTGGTGGGCGCGTTCTCGCGCTTGGTGTCTTTGGCGAGTGCACAGCAGCGTGGTTGCGCCGCGTACAAACCACAAACATGAAAACACGTAACACACATACATGGCATCAAACTCCAGAAAAAGTTCGTACCGTATGCAAACAGTTGTTTTTTTTTCGACTGAAACTCCAAAAGGCCCCCTGTTCCCTGAGCGGTATGCCTTCATGCGTGTCAAACAACGCGCTATCATCCCATTTCGTGAGCGCGGCCAACTTCCCTCCATATAGTACGGAAATAATATGAAGCATTCAGCTGCAAGGTGAAACGCGACTGAAAATATACCAAGAACCAAGGAACAATATATACCCACGTGCTGTTTCCTATTCCACAGGTTGTGGCAATGCTTATCTTGTCGCAGCGTACAATTATCATGCAAACAAGTGCAAAAAAATTATGTATATATCACAGGCTGTGGCACACACGTGTTGTCTGCATCAATGCCACGGTGCGCTAGTAAGGGAAAAACAGAACTAAAAATACAAATGCGAAGCCAAATGGCGAAGCTAAAACGTCCATGTCTGCTCACAAATAAACGAACAGACTCGTAAACGTTTCACATGTTCTCCCACATGGCTGTAACAAGGTGAGGTCGTCGCTGTCACCGTGTCTTCCCCGTTCCCGGTCGACTCGAGGGCGCCACCACTGCTGCCGCCGCTTGCCATCGCCGCCGTTGCCGCTCCCCCGCCGCCACGACCGTCATGAGTTCAACCGCCAACACGGCTGCTGGTGACGTCGCTGCTGCCGCCTCTACCACCGCCGCCGTTGTCGCCGCTTCCGCCGACGGGGCTCTGGCCGAAGCCGCCGCTGCCGTCTGCTGCTGCCGTCGTAGCTCTGGCCGAAGCCACCACTCCCGTCGCTGCTCCTGCTGCCGCCGGTGTCGCCGCCGGAGCTGCCACTCCCTTTCCTGCCCCTATCGAAGGGGTACACCACCCCTGGTACCGCCCCCCGTCTCCTCGCGCCACACGAAGATGTCTTACCGGGGTCGAAGGGGTGCGTCGGGGCTCCACTCCAGGTTTCATCCAATCCCTCATCCCCGCTCCCATCACCGCCGCTTTCCTCGCTGCTGCTGTTGTTGCTGCTCACGTCCCCCTCAGCCTTCCCGGGGTCGAAAGGGTGCGTCGGGGCTCCACTCCAGGTTTCATCCAATCCCTCATCCCCGCTCCCATCACCGCCGCTTTCCTCGCTGCTGCTGTTGTTGCTGCTCACGTCCCCCTCAGCCTTCCCGGGGTCGAAAGGGTGCGTCGGGGCTCCACTCCAGGTTTCATCCAATCCCTCATCCCCGCTCCCATCACCGCCGCTTTCCTCGCTGCTGCTGTTGTTGCTGCTCACGTCCCCCTCAGCCTTCCCGGGGTCGAAAGGGTGCGTCGGGGCTCCACTCCACATGTCATCCAACCCCTCGTCCCCGCTCCCATCGCCGCCGCTGTCCTCGCTGCTGCAGCTGCTGCTACTGCTGCTGCTGCTGCTGCTGTTGCTCACGTCCACCCCAGCACATTGGTTATCGAGCTCCTACAGGACTGGCAACGGCGTCGTTGTCGCACCAACCGCTTTCTCCAACTCTTCGTCACATATCTCCGTCACCGATGTCGCTACCGCCGCCGCTGCGGCCGTCTGGATACCCGACGCCAACGCGGCGACCGGGGACGCCGCAGCTGCTGCTGCCGCTGCCGTTCCCCCCGTCACCGACGCCGCCGCCATCGCCGCTGCGTCCGTCTGAGCACCCGGCGCCAACGCGGCGACCAGGGACGACGCTGCTGCTGCTGCCGCTTCCGACGAATGCTTGGGTTGTTGTGATTCCGCGGACGGCGAAACTACAACATGATATGATCCAAGCATGTGTTCCTCCGCTACACGTCTACTGCTGTATCCGCCCTCCATGAGATCCAGCTCATCGCGTTGCCGCACTACTGCAGGTGATGTTGCGGGCCGCTCGGGAGAGCGAGTTATGGAGTGTGTGTTTACGTTGNTCTCCGTCACCGATGTCGCTACCGCCGCCGCTGCGGCCGTCTGGATACCCGACGCCAACGCGGCGACCGGGGACGCCGCAGCTGCTGCTGCCGCTGCCGTTCCCCCCGTCACCGACGCCGCCGCCATCGCCGCTGCGTCCGTCTGAGCACCCGGCGCCAACGCGGCGACCAGGGACGACGCTGCTGCTGCTGCCGCTTCCGACGAATGCTTGGGTTGTTGTGATTCCGCGGACGGCGAAACTACAACATGATATGATCCAAGCATGTGTTCCTCCGCTACACGTCTACTGCTGTATCCGCCCTCCATGAGATCCAGCTCATCGCGTTGCCGCACTACTGCAGGTGATGTTGCGGGCCGCTCGGGAGAGCGAGTTATGGAGTGTGTGTTTACGTTGAGAGAAGCGACGTTGGCGGGGGCTTTTACCAGCAGATACACCGCAGACGAACCGGCAGCAGCCCCCCCCCCCTTCTCACCAACGTACACCCCACCACTCACCTGTCCACCTGCACCGCCGGTGAAGCCGTCCGCTAGCTGTTGTTGCCGCGGCTGTTGCTGAGAGTCACCGCCGTACACCACGCCTGGCTGCTGCTGCTGCTGCTGCTGCTGCCGACACACAGACCCGCCGCCAAACTCGCCGTTCCTCCGCTGATGCTGAAACGGTCCAGGTCGGTTGTACTTCCAGTGGATCATTTCGTGGTTTGGTGCCAGGCAATTGATGCTTACGTGTCCAGAACGTCCGCACCGATCGTACTGAGGAGGCCCGTGAAATCTCCTCGGCTCACTGCCGACATAAAACCCACCAGCCGCATCGACATTCCTCCAATCGCGAGTGCAACCCATACTTTACTGCTGCTGCTGTTGCATCGGCCCCGCA